GGCCCGGCTGGCCGTGAGCACGTGCGCAGAGCGGCCCGGCCGGCTGTGATCTGCACTCTGCCATGTGCTCCAAGCGGCCAGCGGGCCACACTTCATTCTCTTATAAAAATGTTCTGGGAGCTGCAAAAAATTTGAATCAGGCCACAGTGGGCCCCCCAAACCCAGTTTGATGGGCCTGGTCTAGCCCGTTCCCCCGCGGGGCCCCGGCTCTGCGTGAGCACGTGCGCAGAGCGGCCCGGCCGGCTGTGATCTGCACTCTGCCATGTGCTCCAAGCGGCCAGCGGGCCACACTTCATTCTCTTATAAAAATGTTCTGGGAGCTGCAAAAAATTTGAATCAGGCCACAGTGGGCCCCCCAAACCCAGTTTGATGGGCCTGGTCTAGCCCGTTCCCCCGCGGGGCCCCGGCTCTGCCCGTCCTCGGCAAGGCTTGTTCCCACGCTGCTGCACCAGGCATGGTGACTGAGGGGGGCAGGGCCTCTGTCTGCAGACCCCATCCAGTGATCAGTTTTCTGCTGATGCTTCTGGGACCAGGCAGGCTTGGCGGGTGGCCCACGCACTTCTGGCAGTACTCCAGGGCCAGATGCCCCCATGCTGGGTGTGGGACCAGGCAGCGCTGCTCCCTCCCCAGCCTCCAGTGCCCGAGCCTCACTCGGCCGGGCTGCCCGCATCCCCTCAGCGGCTCGCCCTGGTGTCGTTTGCTGAGCGTGGGCCACGTGGCTTCCTCTGCCCTCAGATGTGCTGCAGGACATCCGGGAGGAGTGTCAGAAGTACGGCCCGGTGGTGTCCATGCTTGTTCCAAAGGAGAATCCTGGCAAAGGCCAAGTAAGTGTGCGGGAGGGGCGGGTTGCCCTGCGGCCCTCCTTGCTGCCTAGCCCCAGTCCTGCGGGCAGCGCGTGGCTCGGCGATCCCCGGCCCAGGTGACTCCCAGCTGGAGGAAGGGGTGTGTGGAGATGTTCAGGGCCAGGTAACTCCCCAATTCGCTGAATGTCCAGCCCATTGGTCAGTAGAATCCCCTCCAGGCTTGCGCTGGGTGTGCCCTGCCCTGCCGCCCCGGGCGTGCCGCCTGTCGGCGGGTGCTGGGGGCGTCCCCGGGGTCAGCAACCTCCTTGTCTCTGTCCAGGTCTTCGTTGAATACACGAGTGCTGGGGATGCCAAAGCCGCCCAGAAGTTGCTGACTGGAAGGGTGTTCGATGGCAAGTTTGTGGTGGCCACGTTTTACCCGCTGAGTGCCTACAAGAGAGGCTATCTCTACCAAACCTTGCTCTAGCAGCCGCGGCCGCGCCTTGCTTCCGTGTGCTCCGCAGCTGAGTGTGCACAGCGCTTCCTCGCCTGCTTCGGAGTCGCTTGCGAAGGAACCTGCCCAGGACCAGCCTTGTGCGCCCTCGGCGCTCCCCACGCTCTGCGCTGCTGTTCGCTCGCGGGCCGGGCCCCTCTGCCTGCCAGGAAGGCTCTCGGCGCCGGGCCGGAGTGGAGACTCGGTGCCCAAGCGTTGCTTCAGTGTCTTGATGGGAAAGGACCCCCCGCACGTGCTCTGAGGCCCCTGGCAAAGCAGGCAGGACTGCCCTGGGTCTCCCTGGCCTCGACGGGACAAGGCAAGCAGAAGCCCCTGTGTCGAGGTGGGCGCGGGACGCGGCAGGTTCCCCAGTCGCTGCCACCTGGCCCAGGGAGGCCTGTGAAGTCTCCGCTCTAACGTCTGCTGGTGTCGTGCTGGCCACCTGAGCGCTGGCTTCTGAGAGCAGGGCCCCTGCAGCAACGCCAGGCCGGGGGACTGGAGCCCACTGAGCAGTATTAGCCCTGGCCCCTGCAGCGTGCGGCAGAGCTGCTGCAGCTGGCATCCCTTGTGCTTTGTTCCAGTGCCAAAGGGCAGAGTGCAGCAGGACGCGAAGCGGGGGGTCTGAGGAGGGCTGGAGCGCACGGCGGGGGGGCGTGAGGCAGGC